TATAATTAATAGTAATAAATAATAATCAATATTAATAAATGTTACAATTAAAAAAAATGACAATAAGTTTCTAAATCGCTATTACAACTAACATTTTAATAAGTAACTTATATTCATCCAAACATGTACAAAAAAATAAGTTAACTCATAATCTAACTTATGTTTACCAAACAATCCCGAAAAGGTCTAATAACTTAAACCGTTTGATACTTGAGGAGATCTCAGGTTCAAATCCAAGGAGAAATAAAAATCTCCCTATGACCACGGAGGTTCAAATGCGGTGACTCTGGGCTATCTGCAAAGCAGGTGGTCGCCCTGGGATTAGTCGGCTCGCATGGCGGGTTGGATATCCTGGTTAATAAAAAAAAACAACTCAAATATTTAAGTACCCGATTTAACCATGATCCGGTTAAAACACTAACATGGCAAATGATGTGACACACAAATTAATAATGTTTTACTTAGATGGTTAATGACATAGATTTTTTTTAGTATTGTACAAGGTTAGATTGCATATGTACAAGTTGACAATGCATTTTAAAATAAATGTAAAAGGTAGCTTAATCAACCAGCCCAACCCCGACCCTCTTCCTCCCCATGTCCGCCGGCCTCCCTTTTTGCCGTCTCTATTCGTCCCCACTTCAGTTGACACCAATTAAACTCAACCCATATCAAGTTTTCAAATCCCAGATTATGTGTTCACTCAGATTATGTTCCTTCAAGGTTTTCAAATCACAAAGTTAAGAAGTTATATATATATATTTTTTCAACAATATGTAAATTATACTTTCTTGTTGTGTCTCTTTCACTACAAAATAAAGATGCTTCACTGATGGTTTTTTCGTCGGTAATTTCAGATGGATCACAGACGGATTTGTTGCCGATCAGATGTGTTTTTACATAGGTGATTAAAAATCCGGCGGTGATCCACATTTTCTCCAGCAATGAGATCCATCAGTGATGACTTTTATTGGCAGATCATCAACAGATTTTTCCATCGATAAAACCTCTTTGTTTTAGAGTATTCAGATTTATGTGCTTAAAATCAAAAATTAGGTTTTGATAATCATTTTTAATGTGCTTAAGATGCATAAAGTGAAAACAACAATTTTTGTCCATTTGGTTTGGTTTATCATATTGAAATGCATAATTTTGTTCATACAAAGCCCAAAGAATAAGTAGTTAAGCCCACAGCAACAATGGTCCGATGGAAAGGTGGAACCGTGGATGGTCACTGGTCTCATAGACATGCACCCTCTAGCCTCTGGTGCTCAAGTGGCTCTGTCATTATTAAGGGGCCGTTTATCAAACATTTACTCGATAAGTACTTACCGGTAAATTTGACACTATCATTTATTTACTGGGTAAAATTTTAGTCCACCAAAACAGTATCGTACGCAACAATTTACCTGACAAGCGCTTACCGTGGTAAGAGTCGTCCTCACTTAATTACCGGGTAAGATTCTTGGTCTTTGTCTCGTTCTTACCGGGTAAGACTCTTGGTCTTTGTATCACTCTTACCAGGTAGGATTTTTGGTCCTTGCCATATTCATCCAGTAAAGTAATGTAACTTGATGTTCACTTATCCTAGTAAGCGTTTGGTAAACAACCCCTTTAGTATTTAAAAAAAAAAAAGAGAAAAGATAAATAAGCTCTTTGCTTTTAGAAGATGGCAGATCATACATAGTGGTTTCTTCTGTAATATATATAAAGATAAAGATTGATTGCACCCACATTTAGAAAGAGATGCGCCAAAACATAAGGCAAAAGTCAATAATACATAAACTTAACAACAAAGATAATACATCAAGTTTTATTGGCCTTTAAACTATATAAATGCCAAGAGAATATTGAAAGAACCCTTTTGAAAAGATTCGGTTCACCCACATTTAGAAGGATCAAAATAAAAAGAGAACTATATAAGATCAAAACAAAGAGATGCACCAAAACATAAGACAAAAGTCAATAATACACAAACTTAACAACAAAGATAATACATCAAGTTTTATTGGGCTTTAAACTATATAAATGCCAAGAGAAGATTGAAAGAACCCTTTTGAAAAAATCCGATTAAACCCTAAGATAGAAAACAATCATATCATATCATTTTGAGAAAAAGAAGTCAGCATATTTGCAATTTCTTAATATGGAAGAACTTTTGAAGCATTATATCACCAATCGCCGTCAATACTTCGATCATCAAAGCTTCAATATGCAAAATCTTCAGTTAATAATCCTAACAAAAAAAACATCCAATTCATTGTTGATTAAAAAAATAATAAATATCAATTCATGATGCAACTCAAAACACAAAATCAATAAGAAAAACTTTCCACAGTTCATAAAAAGGAACAAACTTTCCACAACTCAAAACACAAACCTCGTTGATTTATTCGAAACCAGTACCGATGATAACTGTAAAGCTCAGTACACTCATGTTTATTATTGATTTATTCGAACCTACACTTCATGCCACCAATGTCTATAACTCCTCCTCAAACCTTCTAAGCTCTTCCATTTCGTTTTTCATGGCCGTTAAATGACCCTCAAACGTAACACTTATTTGCAGAAATGTCACAAATAAACAATGCGATAGAACTAAATAAAAGTTTGCTCACTTGTCTTATTAATCGTCTTTTGGTTAACATAATTAAGTAACTATTTTATTTCTTATAAATCTATTTGATTCTCTCTCTCTCTCTCATAACGTGTCTTTATATGATGAAGAGACCATATGATTTTCGGACAACATATTTTATCAAAAAACCGTTTAATATATAGACGATAATATGATCATTTTTGTAATTATAAGTTTAGCCATCGAAACCATTTTAGGATATATAAATATAAATTTTGCTTAATAATAAAACATTAACAATAACATTTTAATAAACAAAAAAATTAAAATAAATAGTATTGTTCTTATCATTGAATGGATATTTTTATTTGTATGACTTAGATGCGTCTTTTATTCGATATGGGTAGGAGAAGAACTCGACCCGGTTGTTTTCATAGAAATTAATTAGATATTGTAATTATTATGTTTTAAAAAATAAATACGATATTTTATAATAATTATAATAATGGCTTTTTAGTTAATTCTTTTTGGTTGATTAAATGTTTGTTTTTTCCGTTGGAGTTGGACTAAGCTGAGGGACCTTCGTTTGGCCTATAAATATCCCTCACCTTCAAGACTTCTTTGCGAACCATCCCGTGTCTCTCTCTCTCTTTATATATATATATATATATATATATATATATATATATATATATATATCTAAAATGATCGAGATTTCCAACAAGACTTCTTCCATGGTTAAACCAGCTGAACGGACATGGTCCGGTAAGCTGCCCTTATCAGAACTAGACCAAACGGGTGTCACCGGTCATATCCCAACCTTTTACTTCTACACACAATCCCCTCACGATTGGACCACTATTCTGCAAACCCTAAAGAGTTCACTCAGTTCAATCTTGGTTCATTTCTACCCTTTGGCTGGCCGTCTATCCCCGGTTGCTGGAGGGCGTCTGGAGCTTGATTGCAATGCGGCTGGTGTGCAGTTTGTGGAAGCTTATGCAGACAACAAACTTACTGATCTGGATACTTTCTTACCATTGCCGATATATCACCAACTTATTCCTTCAATAGATTATCAGAATACACCTCATGAGGAAATCCCATTGTTAGTTTTGCAGGTCACCAGGTTCGTTTGTGGAGGGTTCTGTCTTAGTTTGAGCATGTCACACACTGTTGCCGACGGCGAAGGTGCACTCCACTTTACGTGCGAATGGGCTAGGATTTCTCGAGGTGAGTTGTTAGAGTCACCGCCATATCTTGATAGAAAAGTTCTGCGAGCTGGGGATCCTCCAAGGGCAAGCTCGAGTTTTGAACATGCAGAATCCAATCCTCCACCGATCCTTATAGAACAGTCTGACAATGAACCCGAGCATGAGAAGAAAACCAAGGTCAGAATGTTGAAATTAACAGCAACCCAAGTAGAGAAATTGAAGAAGAAAGCCAACAATAGTTGGAAAAGGGAGATGAGCCGTGGTTTTACACGATATGAGGTTATAACCGCACACATATGGAGAACTGCATGCAACGTTCGTAATCACAAACCAGAGCAGCCAACCGCATTGGCTATTGCAATGAACGTTAGAAGTAAGATGAGGCCACCACTGCCAAGGGAGTACTTTGGAAATGCTGTTATCGATGCGATTGCTACCGGATGCTCGGGGGAGATAGTTTCAAAGCCTTTAGGATATAGTTCGAGTAAAATACGAGAAGCGATTGAAAGGGTTGATGATGAGCATGTGAACTCAGTGATAGACTTTCTGAAGGGTCAAGAAGACTTATCAAAATTCCGAGAATTGAAATCAAGAAGTAATGGTGGAGGTTTTTGCGGCAATCCAAATCTTGGAGTGACAAGTTGGCTAACACTACCGATCTATGGTGCAGATTTCGGTTGGGGGAAGGAGGTCCATATGACTCCAGGAACACATGATAATGATGGTGATTCTTTGATTCTTCATGGCGAAGATGGAGATGGATCCTTGGTTGTTGCATTATGTTTGCAGGTGAGGCATATGGAGGATTTCCAGAAGCTGTTCTACCAAGATATTGATATGGAACGATGAGTAAAATAACTAAAAAACAAGTTGCAAGATCTTGAAGTTGTTCCATTGAAGTGTAAGGATCGTTTGGTAATTCCAATTTGTATTGGGTTAATATAAATAACTGTGTGATGTGATCATTTTATTAGGTTAGTATAAATAAGTGTGTGATTATATAGAGCAACAAATGTGGGTAGGGTAAACTTCTCTTCTCGGTTAAGATAGTGGAGTAACTTTTATATATATATTTTTTATTAACCTGGATATCCAACCCGTTATGTGAGCCGACTAATCTCAGGACGACCATCTGCTTTGCAGATAGCCTGGAGTCATCGCATTTGAACCTCTGTGGCCCAAAATTCCCATGTCTTTCTTGGTTGGACCAACCCGCAAAATCTCCACTTGACTCCTACCCATACAGTAATGTTCGGGTGGCCGTTGGTTTAGGTGAGGCTGACTCGATCGGACGATAGAGGTTGTTGATCCATCTGTATAAATATCACCATCTACATCCAGAAAAGGAAACTTCAAAGACTGAGAGAAGAGAAAGGTAAGATAATTCTTTCTGGCCTTAACTGAAAGCAGGGGTCCTCTAGACTGGAAAAGATTCAATCAACTTGTTATTTCATTCCGGTCTTTTCTCAATTGAGAAGTCAACCAACAGGTCAATCCTTAACTGGGTCGATCTATTCTATCTCGAAGCATCCTAGCGGTCAGTGCTGCTTGATTGACTGCTTTAAAGTTTGAAACAAGTTTTTGATTCGTTACCTTGTTCGACTGAACTCGTTGGCTCCATGTCCACCGAAAGTAGGTAACCTTCCTGTGTCGGTTTGGGGTACGGTCAGTTCATCGGGAGGATCGCCAGCGAGATAGGGTGAGGTAAAGCCTCAGACCGGTCATTTTTTTAATTTGAAAGGCAACTAGTGCTCTTTGAGGAGAAGGGCTTGGGCAGCGTGCATTGCGTGATTCTACTGTGTTTTTTTGCACCCGCTATTTTATAATAGCAATCTATAATTGAAGCAAGCATTTCAGGCATTTCTTAATGAATAGACGTGTCATCGACAACCTGGCGGCTCTTCGTTCTGAAATATCTCCCTACGAAACTTCAAGGAACATCTTTATGTGGGTATACCTGAAGAAAAAAAAATTATTCCTCATTGGATTTGAACCTGAGACCTCCTGATACTTTTAATTAGAGCCAAGTTCAAACCAATCAGGCACCACCTTGTGATTAGTAAGTTTTATATTGGTTATTAGAATGCATAACTTTTTGAAGGATTTTATGGATAGAGGGTAAGTTGTATAAAATAAAATGCTTACTTGACACCAAGTGCCCAATACAAATTGTGGGGTTGGATTTGCGGTTTAGAAAAGCTGAAGTATGTGATAGAGCTGAAAGTTGATTATTTATTATATGTGATTCATCGACTTTAATTTGGTTCCAGTTAGCAAGCAACAAACAACATGTACATCTCATGATCATGCATTCTGCATATTCTCTAATCCATAGTTTTTTAGGCCTAAGTTTAAGGTCACACAATTATAATGGTTTCATTTGGCCTATAAATATCACTCAACATCAAGACCTCTGTGGCGAACCTAGCTAGTCTCTCTCTCTAAAATGATCAGGGTTTACAACAAGACTTCTTGCATGGTTAAACCAGCTGACCAGACATGGTCTGGTAAGCTGGCCTTATCAGAACTGGACCAAACTGGGGTAACCGTTCATGTCCCAACCATGTACTTCTACAGACAATCCCCTGAGGACTGGTTCGATGTTCTGCAAACTCTAAAAAGTTCACTCAGTAGTACCCTGGTTCATTTCTACCCTTTGGCCGGCCGTCTATCCTCGGTTTCTGGAGGGCGTCTGGAGCTTGATTGCAATGCGGCCGGTGTGCAGTTCGTGGAAGCTTATGCCGACAAGAAACTTACCGATCTGGATACTTTCTTACCATCTCCGATCTATCACCAACTCACTCCTTCAATAGATTATGTTAGTGCACCTCTTGAGGAAATCCCATTGTTAGTTTTGCAGGTCACCAGGTTTGTTTGTGGAGGGTTAAGTCTTGGTTTAAGCATATCACATGTTGTTGCGGACGGCCAAAGTGCACTTCACTTCGTGTCCGAATGGGCTAGGATTTCTCGAGGTGAGTCGTTAGAGTCACCACCCTATCTTGATAGAAAAGTTTTGCGAGCTGGGGATCCTCCAAGGGCAAACTCGAGGCTTGAACACACAGAGTTCGATCCTCCACCGATCCTAATAGATCATTCTGAAAACGAAAGTGAGCATGAGAAGGAGACCGACGTCACAATGTTGAATTTAACAGCAACCCAAGTAGAGAAACTGCGGAACAAAGCTAATAATAGTTGGAAAAGTGAGATGAGCCATGGTTTTACACGATATGAGGCTATAACTGCGCACATATGGAGAACTGCGTGCAAAGTGCGTAATCACAAACCAGAGCAGCCAACTGCATTGGCTATCTGCATCGACGTACGAGGTAAGATGAGCCCACCGTTGCCAAGAAAGTACTTTGGAAATGCTATCATCAATGTGATCGCCACAGGAAGGTCGGGTGAGATAGTTTCAAAGCCTTTAGGATACAGTTCGAGTAAAATAAGAGATGCGATCGAAAAGGTTGATGATGAGCATGTAAACTCGGTGATAGATTTTCTTAAGGGTCAAGAAGACTTATCGAAGTTCCGAGACTTGCAACCATCAAGTAACGATGGACATTTTTACGGCAACCCAAATCTTGGAGTTATAAGCTGGTTAACACTACCACTCTATGGTGCCGATTTTGGTTGGGGGAAGGAGATTCATATGGGTCCAGGAACACATGATTCCGATGGTGATTCTTTGATTCTTCATGGCAAAGATGGAGATGGATCCTTGGTTGTTGCATTGTGTTTGCAGGTGAGGCATATGGAGGATTTCCAGAAGGTGTTCTACCAAGATATTGATATAGAATGACGATGCAATGAAGTAACCAAAAGATGAGTACTGGTACTTAAGGTCTTATTGAAGCTGTTAATAATACTATAATGTTTGGTTCCTATATGTATGTATGTTGGCTACCTGGATTGTGGCATGTAATGAGACATGATGGTGATGAGGACTGTGTTCTTCCTAACTAATCCATAGGTCTTCGTCGTCTTCTGATTGTTGCTCATATATGCATATTTTCATATATAGTCCACCATAATAAAAGGGCATATATATGTTAGGGTAAATTAGAAAAGGGAAATCGAATAACCAAATTAATCTCCTAATCATTTTTCTTCGGACTTTACCCAAAAGTCATTATCCACATTACCTAGATCTGCAATTATTGTGAACCCACTAAAGAACAAAAAATTTAACGTTTTTGGGCCAGGACCGTAATCACCGATCTGCAACTATTACGAATTGGGTCCAAAACTCATTTTCTAATGAATCTCTCAAGGTGGACACTTACGTGTCTGACACTACGGATTCAAGGAAAATGAGTTTTGGGTCGGATCCGTAATAATTACGGACCTAATGACTTTTGGATTAAGTATGAAAAAATGGTTAAAAGTTCAATTTGGTGATAGAATATGATAATTTATTTCAATTTCCCATTAGAAAATCTGTTGATGGAATCATGTAATTTAATTTTTATGGTTATGAATGTTGATTAAAAATAAAATTTTAATTTTGGCCCCAAATTAATGTTCCCTAGGAAAGTTGCTTGAACTTTGCCATTTTCTTTACGAAGGTAAATTTATTGTGATCTATTAGATCTTCCAACTAAATTAAGATTAGAACTCTGATACAATTTTCTTATGTAAATTTTTAGCATTTTGGGCGTGAGTTAATTTGAGTTCGGATATGATGAAAGTACTCCAAGTTAAGATACCCGAATCTTATCATCGTCCATTAACTATATAGTAACATCACCCCATTAATTAATACTAAATTGATGTCGTGTCTGATCAATCAAAACGACAGTTGTGGTTAGATCGATCACTTTATAAACCGTAAAAACGAAAAAGAATAGCATTGATTTGCGAATCACCAACCCAAACATCAAGCAAGTTTCTTTTTTGTGCTTCTATACATGATGTGCATGTTTGGAGGGCATGAAGACAAGTTCATATATACTTAATAATTACAACAGCTTCCATGCTTTTCCTCCATTCATGTTAAATTTCTTAAGCCTACCAAAAACCATGACTACAATCAGAATTAGTTTACCCTCGTCGCTCCATTTTCCCGAGAATCCGTACCATTTGTTTTCACAAATGCCATCTGGTTTTAGTTGACGATCACAACTGTAGCCCATTGTGAACCCAACGTTTCCGTAAGCACTGCAATAAGTTCAAACGTTGCACTGAGATTCGTAACTAATTATCCATACACGTTCCCGTAGTTTAAGTGTATATATATATATATGTGACGGAGTAGAATTAAACTTTAATTTGTACATACGTTCCCGTAGTTTAAATAAATTATTGATTTTAATTAGTGCATATATTTTAGTAGTATTATTGTTTTGTACAACCCTTGCTAAACGGAAGCATCATGTGATACACTCTTGATATCCTCCAACTTGATATATATATATATATATATAGGTTGGTTATTATACAACCATTTATATTTATGCAACCAATACAACTCAATCTCAACCGTCCATTTCATTTGATTGATATGTGATTTCATAGAAGTTTTGATTGTTTCCTAATATAAAGTATTGGTCATAATTAATGAACCATATTTATCTTCCATAAATATTCAAATCATAATAAATGAACTCTCATCATTTCCATAAATATCTCAATTTATTGGATTGCATTGATTGTACAAATGCGACGAGTTGTATTTGAAACAAACCATATATATATATATATATATATATATATATATATATAATGATAACCACTTTGAGTAAGTTTTATATGGTATTGTGCGGTATCCGATGTTTGATTGATTGAGTTAAATGCTTCGAGTCAATCGTTATATACATACACACCCATATATATATATATATATATATATATGTGTGTGTGTGTGTGTGAGAGAGAGGGAGAGGGGTATAAAGTTACCTTATAACTTCAACAATGATATTGAGAACGTTGAAATTGAGGGGATCTTGTTTAATCTTTTTCCTCTCGGTTATGCAAACAAGGATGACGAAGATGACAAGATACGTGAGCTGTGAGAAGATATATTTCTCCAACCGAACTTTGTTGCTTTTCCGTTTTCTTTGGTCACTATTTCTGTCGCCGTTTCTTTTTGCCGATAATGGCAAAAACGAGGTATATGGAGGAAGATACCTGTTCCAATTTAATTAATCCATCAAAATGTTTTTTAGTCAGAATTTTTAATCTTTTTTCTTTTAACGAAAACATGAATTATTATTTGAAGTTGCATAATATTTAATGAGAAGGAGTCTAACCATGCTTCAATGATGTAAGATTGACCAAATTCTCCAATGTGACACGATTGGATTTGTTTTTGTTGTTGTCAAAAACCTTTTAATTGTTTATAACAAAAGCCAGTATTTTAGTATAATTATGTAATATTGTTTTAGTCCGTTTAATTGAAAACCCAGTTGTTGTTTCATAAAACAACTGTTAACTGAAAATCTATTTTTTTGGCTAATTAAATATGATAAACTAACCGTACTTAGTTAAAATAAATTAATAAAAAGTTGATAACATAAATTTAAATAGTTTATCAATTAGGCTTATAATTAAAAAAAATGTTTTAATAAACTTGGAGAAATAATAAAAAATTGGATGATTAGACCGATGTTGTGATACCTTTCTACCACTTGGCTGTGTGTTATACGATCTCAATTTGGTTGAAATAGAAGTCATTTCAAATCCATTAAGTTGTCTTTTTTGAATAATTCTATTTTTATACTTGTAAAAAACTTGATGGAATAACAACCTAAATAAGCATAAATTGAGAATTACATTCAGAGTTATTTATATATCACTTGAAAGTAGGGTATGTGAATGATATATATATATATATATATTATAAAGATAGATTTGGGATCATACAAAAGGAGTCTGTTTTTGTGAAACATATGAGACTATTTTTTTACATTTGAAACTTTACAGTAAAACACTGTGAAGGTAACACCTCTCTTTCCCTCTCTCTCTCTCTGTCTCTCTCTATATATATATATAAAACATATATACACGGCATAGACAACAAGTTAATTTATAAAAAATATTGTTTTAGAAATTTATAATCAAAGTAAACTTATTAAAAGTATTTAAAAGTGGTATTTCTATAATTTTTGTAGGTCAAAAGATAAGCGTCAGGTCAGGTCATGTCATGTTTGTCGAGGTTTTCTAAAACTTAAATTGTATGTATTTTTTAATGAATAAAAATGTAACGCATCCATATTATTTCCACTAAATCGTCATCATTTTATTTTTATAAATTACCCATCGCCACGACATGTCCTAAAATACCAGTTCAACCTGCACCAATAATGGTTAAATCCAGACTAATGATTGAGTTATTTTAATAAACCTTATATTGGAATTATTTATTTGACTTTGACTTCAATCCAATAAGTACTGTGTTTTTTTTTAATATATATATATATATATTATATTATATGTTCCAATAATGAATGCATAACGAGAATAATGCAACCATGTGAGCCTTCTTGAATGCATCTTATAACATTTCTTTAATTACTAAGATGGTCATGATTCTAGCTGAATTTGATGGTGAAAAATGTCTATAAATTTCAATAGAGAGGAAGGAAGAGAAATTACTAACATCATGACTACGATCAACACCAATGAGGCAGCAACAACGGTGGAGAGGTCGACGATGGTTTCACCGGTATGTCGCGTATTGATGGTCTGAAACAAAACCCCGATGAATTTTTGATAGTGGTTCAAAGCATTCAAAGAATCAGAACCCCATTCCATGGCCGAAAACAGTACGAATTGCACAAGGATAAAACCCAACACCGTCACCACAAGATACGACGAGTGTAAGTGAGAAAGAAAATGATGGAACCGGATGTTATGGCCATTGTTCAATAAGTAACGGGTTTCGGCTTTCTTCTTGAATTTTCCGATGGCCCAAACGGAAAACCTCAAAGCTGAAGGGTACAGATTGTTACCTAGAAGAATTTGAGGGATTAGAAGTAATAATAGGCCAGAGTTCTTTCGAAAGACGATCATGTTTTCATTGGTGGGAACAAACCCACAGCTAGCAAATGTGGAAACAATGGTGAAGAGAGAAAAGGTGAACGGCTTTAGACCCTTTTGCTCGAGTACATTTTTGGCGCTTGAGATGACATTTATATACACCAAAACTGAGACCACGCCCAAGGTTTGAACCAGAAGTAAGTAACCCAATGCTACAAACCCCAGAAATCTGATGGATTTGCATTTCAAGTCCTCGGTATGGGCCACAGGTTCAGGATCATAACCCAAGTCAAAAATATCTGATTTCGAGCTCTCGAATTCAGGGTTGGCGATGGTGCCTAGCTCGAGATGGTGGTCAGCAAAGTTTGCTGGGATGCCGAGATCACTCATGGAGTCATTCACTCTACCACCCTTTTTCGCAGAGCGCTGATGATGTGAAACATGGAGTCCCACCATTGACGTGAAGACCTCACCGCCGATGAACATCAAGATTGTCATAATGATGAGTTGGGTGTTGGAGAAAACCTCCATTTCAACGACGGACATGCTGGAGACAGTGGATGCAGAGACGGAGGTAAAGAATAAGTCCAACTTTTTAGGGGTAAATGTGGCGGTTCTTGGATCGGTTGCATTGAGAATAAGGAATCCGATGGTCGAAAGGAAGAGAAAATAGAAGAGTTCTATGGAGAAGTGATTCATACGACCCAAGACATAATGATAGAAACAAGTGAGTAAAAACCATAGGAATCGACAAAAACTGGCGATACCGAAACACAAAGAGCTACAAAGCCGTTGTAGTTTGTTTCCGAGATAGGAAACGACCACCATCATCTTGAAGATCAAATGCCAGAGAATCGAGAGAAGCTTAAGTGTATGGCAATGGAGAAGATGGAGTGGTATGTTTTGAGTGGGGTTACATATAGGGAGGGTATATATTGACTTGGGGGTATTATGGTCTTTTCTCCAAACATGTCAAACTAGGTTAGTTTTATTTTATTTGTGGTGGGATATAATCACAGGTTGCGTTGTATTCTTGTAAGGAAACCTAAGAACGTTAACTTAATTATTCATTTCATAATTAATTTTTATATTAATTTATATATATATATATATGGGGATTAATTGAAAACCCTAAGAAAATGGAACATTGATTAGGGGAACCTTTCTTCATTTGTCCATCCATTTTAATTCACTAATTATTACAAGTTGTAGTCAACACAAGATCCGACCATGTAACATGACGGACCAAGCCGTTGATAATCCGTCGCAAATGCTAAATTCATCGCTGATAGTTCGTCGGCCAAATAGTAGTGGGTGATGAGGACCGACAGAATTTAGCGGTGGACTAGCGACGAACTTTTAGCAACAAATTAGCGACGGGCTTTTACAGATGGGTTTTTAGCGACGGATTAGCAACGACCCACTAACTTTTCCGTTGCTGATTTTTGGTAATTTTAAAAAAAGTTAAATTAAAATACTGCATTTTCTATATATTTTATACAAAACGTGCTCATAATTTGAAAATTCCAAACCCAAACTACCCAACAAACAAAAAATAACTATTTCAAATAATGTTCAGGGGGTACCAAAACCCAATAACCTTTACCGACAGTTTTCCGTGCTAATTCTCGTCACTGATGCCCAGTTTTCTAGTAGTGCATGTTGTTAGGGGTACTAATGGGTTTGTTTGATTGGGTTGAAAGCATTTAAACAACTCAATTCAACTTTTGCAGTTTGAAAAATCTAAACCCAACCCAAATAAAAGTGCAACCCAACCCCACAAACTCGTATGGGTTAGTCGGATTGATATTTTGGTACATCAAAATATTCTTCTCACCTTAAATTTGATATTTTTTTATACTCGTAATTTTTTTTCGTCATCAATCATTTGATCTAACTTATTTGTACTTCTTAAATATATATATATAGAGGAGTGATCATATGAAAACCGCCCTCATTTGTGTAAACCGTGCAAACCACCTTCATCTGTCGATTTCATTATTTAATCTTATGAAATTTTTTCATGAAATTGTTTAATCTTGTGAAATTGTTTCATATAATACTTTTTTTTATGAAGTTGTTTCATAT